CTTTGTTTGTTGCAGTTAATGGTGTGGGCCGGTGGACCTCGTAACCCAAGGATGTTAATTGATTCATTCCGTGTCATCCCTCTTGGTATGGATGAGAGCTTCTGCCGGCTTTATGAAGGCAACATGCGCCCTCTCCCTGCTCTGAAATACAGAGTACCAGAAACTATTCCGAAACTAAAATCTTTTCTTAAAATAAACGACAAATTATAATTGACTAATAACTTCATTGTTAATTAAGATTTTAGTGGATCTTAGTACACAACGTGTCATTGTTGCATTACTAAATAAATTGTAATATACGATTTACATGTGTATTCTATTATTGCACCCTGTATCATGTATGATTCGCAAGGCTTTATTTTATATAGAATATAGTCAGGCGTTACTTTGCGGAAATCTATGATACACTAACAACTGGGATAATATTTAGTTTTTATTCTGTTGAAGGAGTAAATTTGAAGCAAGGAGATAAATGCTCATGCAGTAGAGGTGCGTCAGAAAACAGACAGCAAACCACTCGAACTACAATCGACATATTATGTTTCGTTCCGTATAGGTACAAGTCTGTATAGGCACAATTAAAAACTTTGGAAACAGAAAAAAGTTTCAAAGAATACGGATAGATGTGGTAGGAGAAGTAAATGTGCAAATGTACAGATTTTCAAAAAAGAGTTTGACGCGGTGATAGATGGAACTAATATTAATTTAGACTGAATCATCCACTTGAGACCATATCCCATGAATAACCAATCATCCGAACATAGTACCTCCTCTTTTAAACGCGATAAAAGTAACAAATATCAAAACCGATTGAGTCGTAGCGTACCACTGCAAACTTACGATCCTGGCGACCTCACTTATTCGAAACTCTTTTTTGCCAACCTCTACCTCAGTACACTTGTACTTGTAATAAAATAATGAAATAATAGCTAGGATATATATTTATCATGTTTTGATCGCACTAATAACTATGATTTAACTCTATAAGCATTTTTAGATAACAGAAGTATCTTATCGTAATCACACATAATTAATTAGACGAGATAATTTCATTAGCCCCCAGTTTTTATACAACAGTTCAACGGTAACGTTTGGAACATTTAGCAGACGTAGTGGCAAATTAGAAGAAAATATGTTGTATAAAATAAATTCGATATTCATATTTCTGTTTTTGTATTTGGTGCCTTTCACTGCCAGTGAGACTTGTGTGAGGTACACTTTCGAACAAGGTTTCGATGAGTTGTTCTCGGATAAATTTGGATTTTGTGAATCCTTAAATCTGCCACCATGGGAACTCGGACAGTACAGGACATTGGGAATACCAGCTCCGAACGCACAAAGCACATCTTTTATGGCACCACAACCAGGAAACGAAAGCTGCACGTCTTCATTCTTGTTTCCCATGCAACGAGGAGCTACCATTGAAGTCACACTTTACCTGGATCCAGTGAATATTCTCGATGAGTTTACATTTATAGTTGTACAAATTGATCCTAGATCAGGAATTGCGTGGTTATCAGGAGCTTATAGCTTTTGACCTTTTCCATGGCCCTTTCCAAGTGGATGGTACACGTCATCTTTTCCAGTACCTGGTATAAACACACCTGAAGGATTTGTGAGTATTATTTTAGTGTTAATTTAATTAAAACTTTTAATCCGCTATTATTCTGTCCGAGTCACTGCTTGGTGGAATCGGCTCAGTGGAGCCGCTTTTTAATCCACGACTATTGCTCTTTGAACATTTTTTGGCATAACTGCGATAACTTAATTGCCTGTTTTGCGTGGAGATTATTTGTAACTAAGTAGAAGGTGGCAATATTATCGACTGCGACATTATTGAGAATTTGTCACATAGAATATTTGTTTTGCGATTATTAGGAAAATTTGTTTAACAATGCGATGATAGGCCCTAGTGAATGCACCGCTTGGGCGTCGCGCACGACCTTGTTGCATATTGCACGTGTACATTTTTATTTATTTCTAGAATGCCTGCGTTTCTTGATTCATAGATTAGTATATTAGCCAAATGTACAATTATACCACTACAACGTTTTATTTTTCTTCACTGCCTATTAGTAAATTAATACTTTTTTTATTGCAGTTAATGGTGTGGGCCGGTGGATCACTTAACGCAACATTGTTAATAGATTCATTCCGTGTCATCCCTCCTGGTATGGACGAAAGCTTCTGCCGGCTTTATGAAGGCAACATGCGCCCTCTCCCTGCTCTGAAATACGAAGTACCAGAAACTATTCCGAAACTAAAATCTTTTCTTAAAATTAACGATAAATCATAGTTGACTCATAACTTTCATAGTTAATTAAGCTTTTAATGCAATTATAGTCTTCAAGTACACAACCCGTCATTGTTGCTAGTGTAACTGGTAATGTGTTGTGGCCAAATTGTAGCCTTTGACTTTATTTTGAAACTGTGACGTTGATTTTTGTATCGGTTTAATATCTTTTATTGTAATATTTTAAAACTGTGTACTGTAATATTTTAAATATGTGCATTTAATTTTTGACATATCTTTTACATTATTCAGATACTGTATATTGATTGTATTGATTGGGTTTTTGACATTATAAACCGCCTTGCATAGAAGCCTAAAAAATTAATGTAATTTGATTATTATTATTATTTTTGGTGAATGTGATTATGTTTTCGTAATGTGAATTTGCTTGTCTCTTTTTTGTACCTATATTAAATTTCAGACACAATGTAAATTATTAAATGAATGAAATAAAAAAAAATCAAATGTATCTCGATCACATAAAGATCGGAGTATACTTTAAAAATATGTTCTACTGAAAATGTTATATAAATCTGGTATTATTATCTGATTGACATCTTGAAAACAATTCAAGCGTTCCAACCGTCATGATCTTGGGCCCAGTACTATTATGGCCCAGTTATGTTTTTTTTTGTTTTTATTAATTAAATTTTAATATAGAGGTACAACTCACATGTGTATTCTATTATTGCACCCTGTATCATGTATGACGCATAGGGCTTTATTTTACTCATTTTATTAGTATAGGACGACAACGAACAGATAGGGCACCAATCGACGCTGTCCAACACTTGGGGAGCCATTAGTGCATTGCCAGGCTTATGGGGATTAGGAATTCAGGAATTGGGATGAAGGGATTTTTTTAATAAAACAATAATTAAACCCCAACAATATTGCCTAATTCGTCAAGTGGTCATAATCAGACATGTATACATTTGGTTGAATCCTTAGGTCTTACTTACAAGATAAAAACAATAATGGCACTACTGCAAGCTGGTATTCTTTTATATCTATTGTTTGAGGCATTTTTCTTTTAGGAACATGCCAGTGCCTTTAGCCAAACGCGACTTTAGCGCTTGTCTACAGAGAGAGTAGAAAACTGAATGTATTGGGATGACACTGAAAAGTGTCAAAATTTACGTCAATCCCATATAATTTGCTTTCCTATTCTACATGTAGACAAGCGCTAAACGGCATTTGGCTACAGGCGCAGGCCCGTTAGGACATTATTTTATTAAATCTAACATAATTAATTAAATAATTCAATTATCACTGATGCATGAACATCTTATATAGGACAATGGCTGCAGACGAAGTGGAATTCCCTTAATCCTCGAATAGATGTAAAACCACTACATCTAACGCTGGTAATATATGAAGCAGTTGTACTCCCCGACGGAGCTGACTCATACCAAAACCAAACCTTACATGTATCAATAAAGCTTTACAATAAGTCATAATTATCAGATAATTTATTACAATTAGATCAATGTAAAGCACTTTTGAACGACAAATAATATGATTTTGCGAAACGAATTCCCATTTCCACTAACATTCAAGACACAGGTGAACAAATGTATTGAGGTTTCAAAAGAGTCTGTACAATTTATTTACAAAGAAGCAATTGATATAAAATACTTGATACAATTTTAGTTAAAGTGAAGAAAAATGGATACTTTACCGATTTAAGGACTGAGATCCTGGGTGATTACATGATATTTCTTGTCATACGCAAATTAACAAGAATTTTTGAATTATAAGGGCCAAGGGTATATTTCGCAACGTCAAATTGAGTTTTTTTTGTCTTAACTGAAACATAGGTTGTAAATATGAGTCAGTTAAGCAACAGATACTTAATGAGACATTGTGAAATAAACCCTAAATCGAAGTCACGGATGGTTATTGACTCAAGATTAATTGAACACTGCCAAGGAAAACTAGACTACAAACACAATTTATACGTGAAGCATTTCCTGAATTTTTTACAGATTTTCCTTATATTTTCCAAGACTTCCTTAAGATTTTCTTCAAATGATTCTAGATTGATATTGTTTGTTAAATGATGATTTAAATACTGATAGTTTGTACTTACGATAGTTTTTAATTACAGTTCAATATCATGATCATGATTTCCTTCAGATAAAAATATTGTAATGTTCAAGTGTAATTCAATTATGAAGATCTGATTAAGATAGCAGAAATATTATTTGAGAAATAATAATAATAATATAAACATACATTTTGTCACAAAGGCAAAGCGTGACTTATGTTGAAGATACCTAACTCTATTCTCTTATTAAACAAATGGTTGCAAATACAAACTTTTGGTAATTATTAGATTTTTAATATCTAAAATTCTCAACCGAATTACGCCATATTTTTGACTAAAGTATTATTGCAAAACGCGGACATGCAATGACCTATATTAAACTGGGTATGATACATCTCATAAGTTTATGTTCATAATGAATGAACAAAAAAATACACATTGAACTACAAAACGAAATAAACCATTGAACCTGATAAATATATCCAGACAAAATTAATGTATCATTTTAACAAAACATAGATCTTATCATCATACATGATAATAATTTTAACCAGCCTTTGTATATGATGAGATAATATCATTTCAATTAGAATAAAACTCATAATAGATCACAATTTTAGTTAATTTAACTATAACAGCTGAGAGAAGCGAAACAAAATGATTCGCAGTAGTTTTGTATTTATTTTTGTGCTGACAAGTTTGGTGTCGGATGCTGTCAGTGACTGCGTGCGGTACACGTTCGAACGAGATTTTGATGACCTGTTTACAACGGAGCTGGGTATTTGCAAGAACATGGACCTACCGCCATGGCAGATTGGAGAGTACAGCACCTTGGGACTGCCCAGCCCTAATGAATCAAGCAAAACATTTATAACACCTGGAGAACGAATGAGTTGTATTTCATCATTTCCCTTCCCAATGAGAGAAGGCGGCACACTTGAAGTGAAAGTTTACATTTACGATGCAGCTCTTACTGACCAAATCACAATAGCCATTAGTCAAATATTGATGTCTGGTAACACATGGGTAACTGGTACTTACGTGCATTCACCTCTGGAGTCAAGTTTTACAACAGGCTGGTACACTATCAAGATGACAGTACCGGGTCCAGACACACAACAAGGCTTTGTAAGTATAGTTTTAACAAGTTTTTTAAAATATGGTGTTTTCGTTGCGTTTTTAAGGGAACCTCAGGGGTTGTATACCTTTTGGGCGTCCATAACTTTTTTCCTTGATACAATTGGATAATAACTTTTTTCCTTGACACCTTGGATAAATTTAGTGAACTGAACTCTAAAATAATATTTAAATATAATAGGAATGCAGATAGAAACTAACCGTGCAGTGCAATATAATCTGGATTTTGTAATCAAAATATTTATGATGTTCGGCCGCACCGAGGCAGCTTTTAACAGCAAATTTGAATCAAGAAATCTAATACAAGCGTTCGCACATTTTGAAAATCTACTGCGGTTAAAAACAGTTTCTCCCTAGTGCGGTTAACTGCACCAGGCACTAGTCTTATCTACTTCCAGTATAGTTTTATAAATTGAGTGTTGTATTGATTTTCAATTTATTTGTTCCAGATCGCCATAACGGGCCTAGCATCATCACCTAATTCTATAGTACTGGTAGATTCATTCCGATACATACCACCTGGCATGGATGAATATTTATGTGAATTCTACGATCCTATTGAACTGACTTCTACTCCGATTCCAACCACTACCCCTGAACCAACCACCACTCCTGAACCCACCACCACCCCTGAGCCAACCACCACTCCTGAACCCAGCACCACTCCTGAACCCACCACCACCCCTGAACCCACCACCACCCCTGAACCCACCACCACTCCTGAACCAACCACCACTCCTGAACCAACCACCACTCCTGAACCAACCACCACTCCTGAACCAACCACCACTCCTGAACCCACCACCACTCCTGAACCAACCACCACTCCTGAACCCACCACCACTCCTGAACCCACCACCACTCCTGTACCAACCACAACCACCACCACTCCTGAACCAACCACAACAACCACCACTCCTGAACCAACCACAACAACCACTACTCCTGAACCAACAACCACGCCTGTACCAACGACCACTTCCGTTCCAACCATCGCGACTGAAACAACAATAGCTCCTGAACCACCCACCCCAGCTCCCACGCCAGGCCCCACATTTATACCAACCACTACTTCAACCCCAGATTTATGTCCACCTAATGAAAAACCAGACTCCTGGTTTTGGACCGTAGTTATTATTGGCATAGTATTACTTCTAAACATTATAGTATTACTTTTAACTTGTGTAATATTCTATCACCTTGGATGGAAGAGGGCAGTCGCAGCTGCTATGAAGCAAGTCTAGTAATCGCCAGTCTCGCAGTGCTTTTGCTGTTAAATAATGATTTATAAGAGTCGCATCGAAGTTATCCTGATTTTTTCATTGTTTTATACTTTTTTCATTCGCTGTTAATATTCATTGTGAAAAAGGACCAGTTTATTTAACACAAGTTTATTGATTGTGATAATAAAATCGATTACACATTAAACATTGTTAAAATAAAATGTGAATTGAATTAATATTATGGGTTTTATTTCATTATGTATTTTATTATTTTATAAGCTTATTCAATAAGTTAATAGAGAGGTGAGCATTTTACTATAATTATCTTCATTCATTCTTCCATCGTTCTTTTATAAAAAATTGGTTTGACTTTCAGAAAGAGGATCTTGCTCAATACTTCCAATTAATAACTCAAACGCGAACAAGAACAGATTTGGAGAATTTCCCCAGTAAGCCTTGATGAAAATATGAATTCCGAATAATAAATCAGTTCGTTTACCTCAATTTAACCATCAATGTGAATGTAAAACTAAAATTAAAAGAAGGATTTAGATGACAAATGTCTGTTAAGGCAAAAAGACTAAAATATGTATAGAATAAAGACTGAATAGATCAGTCAATATTTTTGAGACGTGGCGCTGGCGAAAAACATTTTTAATCCTTTAGAGTTTGGGCTGCAAAACGCACAAAGTATTTATATCACTACTGGATTATCGATGACATTCTTTCGAATGAATGCATTTAATGGATTATCGGTGACATTCTTTCGAATGTATACATTTACTGGATTATCGATGACATTCTTTCGATTGAATGCATTTACTGGATTATCTATCACATTCTTTCGAATGAATGCATTTCGAATTCGAAAGCATGGAATCGTCGAGAGATTGACAGTTTTGAGAGTTTTGTATCAAACAAATAGTATTTAGTATTTAGATTTAATAGACTTTGAAATTTACAACAAAATTTATTTTGGACTACTAGATGAACAAACATAAAGTTATTTCGAGTTATAGGAAACATTTTGGGAAAGTTTTCATTTCAATAAAAATATCATATGTGACCAACTGAACCTTGACATTTGGGACGAAGTGTTTTCAGGTAAAAGATAGCTAATGACGTCCCAAAATCCATGAAAAATTGTGTTAGTCCATGAGCTAAACACCCTGTATAATAAGTACAAGTACAATTATAAGTACAAGTAGGTATTAGAAGTATAATATTATTATGTGCCCCTAGCTTGGGTTGAAACTAGTCGAGTTCCTCGTTGGACAGTGCGTGACTAATCTGTTAAGAATATGCATGTATGTGTGCTGTCAAATGACACACACATACATATTCTAACGAATGCGTTTGTACCACCGTAGATAAGGTACCTAATAGATTTAATTATGATACTGAAATAAAGGTGTTCATGACCTTTAATGAAGTACAACCTTAGGAAAATATTATGGATATCAAAACTTCCTTACATGTTAATTAATTGATAATGATTACTTTTGCTTGTTAGATAACTACGGTTTGATAGTCATTGTTTTTATTTAGATAGATTATCAAGATGGTATCAATCACCATCTTCGTATATTTAAAGTATTCCTATTTCCTTTATTTAAATCTATGATCAAGTATTAGATTGTTATTATTTTTACAATTAATATGTTCTCTAAAAAATAAAACATAAAACGTATGTTGATGGTGTTCCTACAAAGTCAAACAATTGGGAATCAAAAACGCCGTTTTTCGCACTGAGAAACTATAAATAATAATAGTTCAATGTAAGTTTACGATTTCATTCAGATATTACTCTAATGATACATAGTTTGTAATAGAATAAAGTACATTGTTGTTTGCAAAGTTCAGAGCTCGCAGTTTTATTAAGAACCACCTCTTTATCTAACCTTCATCGTGTATCAAAATATCATACTCTTTCTTACACACATTTCCAATTAATTTAATTATAACTTATCAATACTGTTCATCATGTTTTGATCATAATATGATTAGGTATAAGTTGGCACTCATACCTAATCAAACGCGCAAACATTATATAAACCGAAACATTTCACCAGTATGTACAATGTACATTGAACAGTAACTGTTATAAGTTATAGTAAAAAAATGGCTCTCAAGATTTTCATTCTACTCAGTTTGTTAACTGCGTACGTCGTCAGCGATACCTGTGTCACGTACGATTTCGAAGAAAACTTCGACAATTTATTTAGTAGCCATGGTACGTGTTCAAACATACATTCATCTTTATGGACTATCGAGGAGTACAGCGACAGCTTAGCCAGTCCAAATGAGCACAGTACTAAATTCATAACACCTTCAGTACATGGGCAAGTGAATTGTATTTCATCATTCCACTTGACGATGCACTCCGGTGGTGTATTTGAATTCAACGTCTACGTTGAACCAGCAGAAATAGGCGATCATATACAAATTATGGCCTTTTCTGACGAACCTGACAGTTTTTCGGCTATAACAGGATTGTCCTTTATAAACTATCCTACTGGATGGCACACTGCGAGTTTTTCTGTAGTTGGTGCTGCGTCTTATAGAGGATATGTAAGTAATAATATTTTAATTTTAACACGTTGAACGCCATAGGGGTCTCCGGTGACCGGCGTTAGCGGAGGATTTAACAGTTTTTTATTGCCAGTCAAAGTCTTAAGTATACGGAGTTACTTTTATTTAAAGTCCTCGTGTGTTATTCGGTGTTTTTTTTCTTCAACTTTACAAACCTAATTTTGTTTTTGTTGTCAATTAGCAATGTCTATGTTGAATCCGTTTTTCGCTACCGTGGCCCATGTTATGTTGTCCTTATGTCAAAGTGTATATTGTTTCTTTCCAGATTGCTCTATTTAGCATGGCATCTCCCAATGCAACAATTTTGGTTGATTCATTCCGCTATATACCACCTGGTGTGGATGGAAGTTCATGCCAGATTTATGGATAACCAACCATCGACTTCAAGTTAAAAACATCGACTGAAGCTTACATCGTTTTTCAGCCAATGTTACTTTTTCGATGTTGATTTTAATTATATTACATGAATTTATTTGCTATTAAAATAAAGCATTGCTATGATATTTTCTTTTTCTTCCTTTGTTATCAAAATCTTATTAATAATGAATTATTCTATTTTTGTTTTTTAACTTAACATTAACATAACATCACACCTTTTATCCTCGAAGGGATAGGCAGAGAGGTGCATAGTATGTCGCTGTACAATGTAACTCCCACTTTTCACTATTTATGTTATGAGCCCCATGTAATAGGGGGTGTGCCTATTGCCATATACCGGGCACAATTCCAGACTCCGTGCTACTACTGAGATTTTTTTTTAAACCTAGTTATACTTTGCCCGACCCGGGTGTAATGTGGAGCAATGAGGGAGACGTGTTACTTATAGGAATAACTTTAATTGAGTTTCTTAAGAACTAACTTACACTACTTACTTATAGGGCGAGGTGTCACACACACTACACGGGAATCGAACTCGAGACCCCTTGCACTTGCGACCACTCGGCCAATAAGGCAGTATTTTTGTTTTATTTATTAAAAAAATAATTTATAATAGTTTACGTGAATTACAGAGATTAAAGCTAATTGTAGGTTTCCCTTATTTCCTAGATTTAGTGAACATGCGAACTGACGTAATAAAATTAATAAAATAAGATCAACGATAAAAACAATGACTTACTCAATCAGTAAGATTTAGATTAAACTTAGATTTCGCAAAAATGATTTGAGATATGGTGTCGGTGTCCAAATTGCTATAAACACATTGAATAAGTTTTTTTTAAATTTAGGTTTAGTGCAACTAAACTAACCTATTTCGGCAAAGATATTGTTGTGTGTTCGGTCAATGCGGGTCAGTACATAATTTTTTTAGCATATTTGGTCGAGTGCCGAGGTACATGTATCATCAGCAGTGATCGGAAAAAGGTGAGCTAATTTACCTAAACTCCAAGGAACAAAAACCTAAAATCGTGACAAAAGTTGCGGTTTCTTTATAGCTTTTGTTATTAATAACATAATTTTGGTGTTGAATAATTTTATTTTATACTTTTTCTTACATCTTAAAATATTTATTGTTGAAGACAATAAAAGTTTTAATTTTGTTTGGTTTTGTGTTAAATTTAAGAAATAAAGTCACGAAACGAAATCAATTGTTTTCTGTATTAATAACAATTATATTAAATGTAATATATATAAATATCCCGAAACTGGAACCGGAACTTTCCCGAAAAAGATGTTGTAGTAAGGAAGTCTCCACTTTTTGTTTTTGTTCCTTGAAGTTTAGATAAATAAGCTCACCTTTTTCCGATCACTTATCATCAGCGTATGGCGAGTGCATCTTCTGGGAACGTTTAACGTATATTCGAAATATTCAGTTCACCACGGGTGAGGCATACATAGAAATATTCTTAAAATATGAATCAGTCTGAAGGAAATACTTCTCTCTTTTCTGCCAGGACTCGTAGTGTAGTTGAAAAGTTTCTACAATATGGTTGTTGGAGTACTCTAACTGTTATAACTTGTGGTGCCCTCTCGACCCAGTGCCGAGCACCTTTCCTGCCGACTTTTTTTATACTTGATAGGTCGACGTTTGGCTACCAAAAATACTACGTTATATAAACTAATGCTTCTCACTCTCGTCACTTCTGGCACACCAATGTCGTTTTGACAGTTATTGAAGATCATTGAAATTAGGATCCACGTCTGCTACAATATATGACGGCGAAAAACTTACTAGGAGAGTTGCGAGCCATTTTCCGCTGTAGATGGTAAATCACTCTACAGCGTTGGACACCTGGTAGCCTTGTTATACAAACAGGTGCCCCATACTGGAACATTCGTGGACACCCGTGTAGTGGTGGCGAATCTAGTCGTGGATTTTTTTTATGAAATACCGGCCGGTAAACCAGCAGAGGGATCACCTGATGGTAAGCAATCAACGCCGCCCATGCACACTCGAAACACTAAAGGTGTTACTAGTGCGTTACCGGCCT